AAGTTCCTGAGTTTGTTATCTTTTTAGAACATTTCCTTTGTCACCTGATCTGTGTAATGTTTGTTGCTTGAATGCTGCTCTTTAACGCCTTTGGTGACGTTTTTGGAGCTTCTATTTCGGTCCTTCGTACCGGTGGATTAACCCCATTATAAGGGTTTTAGATCTACACATCCTTTCTGCGAAGAATTCGTTTCAGATTTCTTTTCTGATTATTTTTGTTAGGATAAAAGCGAGAATTCAAGCTCTTCCGTACCTCCGAATTAAAAGCTCTTCCATACCGTATGAATATAGTACAGTTTTGCTAGTCTCTATGCTTTAGATTTCGAAGGTTAATGAAGTTTTAATTTTTAAATATATTTTTATGTCCTAATGGGTCTTAACTTTGAGGTGAGCGAAGCCGCAAATTCTTACGAGCTTGTGCTTTGGAATTGCTCCAATGCTCCCTTCTTCTCACAGCTCTCACTTTGTCATTTGATCAGTTATCATTAAGTATTTGAGTCCTCTTAATTCCTTAATATCTAGCTCATTAACCTACTTGTGGAAACATTAAGTCTGGCTAGGAGTTTTCAGGATGTGACTGATACTGAACAAAATTTTTCCAAAAGCTTTCTGAGTACATTTTAAGTCTCTTATGCAAAATACCTTTAATATACATGTTATTCTCAAATATTTCTTGGGATTCCTTTGCTTTGAGCTTTACTATTTCTGGAAGAAGTATTGTGACTGAACATGACAGTTAATCTTTCATATGCGGCTGAATCATTTTGACTTGACTTTCAGGTAATGATAAAAGAGGACAATATTATCATCTCTCAAGTCGAAGCTCGGCATTACTTTTATGTGTTTGTGGCATGGCGCTGCAGTGCCTCCATTCAATGTTGAAAACAAGATTCTATGCGCTTCTTATTCCCAATTCTTCAGGCTGGAATCGCAGCGTTTTCATATCGGTTATAAATAATTGCTTCTAAGAAACCTTTAACAAATTTTCGGCAAATGATTTACTTTTGCAATTAAAATTTTAAGCTCTATTATTCTGCATATAGGACTGAGTTCTTGTCAGGCCAGATTAAGATTTTAAGATGTCCTAAGCACTTGAAGAAATTGGGTACCACAGTAGATATTTATTCCCATTTATAGTTTTTTCCCATTTCTTCTGTTTTGATCTTAGTTTAGCTGCACCAAATATTCCATGATAAAACAAGGAATGGGAAAATATTTATGGTTTTCCTTTCCTTGAAGCTCTAAGGACCTTTTTATGGTGTCCCTTTTCCTTGATGCCCTAAGCAAGTGCTTACATTGCTTAGTGGTTAATCTAGATGTGAGTCTTCTACCAAACTAAATTCATACTGAGGAGCTAAAATTTTAAGAGCTAATTTTTTAAAAACTACTCATGCGATTTTCACAAAACTTGGCAGTCTGGCATAATTTGAATGGTAGAATCGAAATATGGAAAAACATCGGCATGTTATTTCAGAAAACGTCCGTTTGTGTCAAAATACCTATAGTAGAACAATGCTATATATAAATATAATACATATCCTAAGTTGAGCTTTCGAGACATGAAAAATGCAAGTTGAAATTCTTCAATCCATCCAGTAGAACGTTAGATGTACAACTGTCCCTGTTTTTTTTTCGCAGTGTACATTCCTTACATTGTGGGAAACACGGAGGTACTTAGAACCACTAAATGTTTCAATACACGTTAGTCCTTTCTTATTTTGTGCGAATTTTTGTCTTATAAGATATTTCTCCCGCCTTCTTGGCATGCCTTCGTGGTGTGGTGGTCTGCACGCTCAGCGCGTAATTGAGAGGTCCGTGTTTCGATTCCCGGCGAAGGCGTTTGCTCTTTTTTCCTCTCTCCGATCTCGAAATAAACCTAATGTCTCTAAAGTTTGATAAACTCAATATGTGAAAAGCGATATATTGCCATTTGAAAAAGCGTTATACACTGGTTATCATAAATTAAAGAAAAATCACAAAAATAGCGATAACTCCCTCAAAAATAAGCCAAATCGTGTAAAATTTGAATATATTTCCAAGTAAAAGTAGCTGATAAAAGTGCGATTATGCAAATTAATGGCGCTGCTTTCGGATGTCTCTGCGGAGCATCAAAGTCCATATTTGAGAGCAAACCCACATATTCACTGTGACAGTGACATCAGAAATCTGAGATAGCCAATTCGTAACTGACTCAGCATCATTTGCCTTCAGAACGCACGGAGACCATTGGGAGACTGAGGAGGACAAAGTCAAACGGAAGTGGCCAGATGCTAAATGTGAGTCTTTCTGTGTTTCATAGACTTGGAGGGCAATTTCAAACCAAGATTTGGATTATGAGGTCAGCCAAAACGGCCAACTGCTACGACGAGCGCCGCTGACCGATATTTTAATTATGCGCACGCAGAACAGAACCGCCCTCCGCCTTCTTAGATCCTCCCTTGCTGCAGCCACCGAGGTTGGTTTCAACGTCAACTGGTTAGAAGGCTTCACGAAGGTGGTGTATGCGAGGCGACCACCCAGTTTGTGCCGCTCACGTCACGCCATAGGAGGGACGTTTTCAGTGGGCACGACAACATGTCCATTGGACGCCTGATCAATGGAGGATGGTTCTCTGAGGATGAGTCCAGGTTTAGTCTAGAAAGCGATAGTAGGCGTTATTTGATATGGAGAGAACCTAGAACCCGTTACATGTTCCGTGAAAGAGATGCATACGGAAGGGGCAGTGTCTGTGTTTGGGGTGGCATCTCCTTGGGTGGACGCACAGACCTCCATGTCTTTCCAAGGGGAACCGTGGATGCTCAGATTTATAGAGATGACATCCTTGATGTTTATGTGCGCCCATATACCGGGGCAATAGGTGATGCTTTAATGTTGGTTGGTTGGTAACGGAGGACGGGGACGCCTGATGTCTAACAGAGGTAAACAGGCATGTGTCCCGCGCCCTTCACTAACCAGGAACAACTCCCTGAGGCCTCAAGAGGCCGCCTCGGGAGCATTTTAGGATGTTAACAAGAGCATTTACATGGCCATACAAGGGCAGATTGCATTCGTTTTACCGTTTTGACATTTGTTGTTGCAATTTGCTATGGTAATTTTGCATTTTCATAATAAAATTCAAATAAAAATACAAATTAAATATGCAGATACAAAAATACAGTTACAAAATAATAGGATTAAAATACAGGCTCATAGGTTATAAAAAAATGTAAGTATTATGCATATACAGAAGAGGAAATGTTAAATACATTTGACTGTACATTATTTGTATGTAATAGGGACTTATGTAAGTTTTAGGAGTAGACTTATGTGTCTGAGAATGTGGAACTGCATGCTGATGCTTTAATGTTACAGGACGACAGCGCAAGACCACACAGGGCTCGCATCGTAGATGATTATCTTCAACAGGAAACAATTATGCACATGGAGTGACCAGCTCGATCTCCGCACTTGAATCCTATCGAGCACGTTTGGGATGCTTTAGGGAGACGTCTAGCTGCTCTCAATCCGCCCCTCGGACCCTTGTCGCGCTTGCAACTGCTTTGCAAGAGCAATGGCTCTCGCTTCCTACGGAACTGATAGACCGCTTAATTGAAAGCATCACACATCGCTGTATGTGCTGTATTGCTTCTAGAGTCGATCATATTCCATATTGAAGGTACGTTTCCTATAGCAAATTGAACTAGCACATGTATAAAATGAAAACCTTCGATTTTTTCATTTTATACATGTGCTAATTTCTATACTACGATATTTGTTCGGTAATTTCTTTTTATGGTATTTGATACCTTACTATGTGTTGTATATTGTGGGTAAGTTTCATTAAATTCTACATGTAACTTTTTCAGTAATCGTGATTTTTGTGATTTTTCCTTAATTTATGATAACCAGTGTATATACATGTTTCATGTGTAATTAGAAAAGACAGCAATTTAAAAGAAATGTGATGCCACTCGGCAGAGAGGAAAGTATTTATTAGTCTTTAAAATTTAATCAACTAATTTGTAAATTTTTGTTTGTAAAATAAATGTGTTGCCGCTGTTCAAAATAAATATTTTTACCTTGTGCCGGCCAGTATATTGCGGTTGGATAAATTGTTATATATTTCATACAAACTCAATATCTGAAGTAGGATGAATAGTAATCAGTGTACAATAGTGCAAGCCCTAAGGGGAAAAGCATTTTCATACAATGATATATTTAAAAAATGAATAAGTTCATCACTCTTAATTCTAACCTAATATTCTAGTTCTTCAAAGAAGCTGGAAAGCATAAAACTCATACCTATCATTTACTTAAAAATGGCATACTTTTTCTTTAACCAGTTTTGTGTTAACTCGAGACATGCTGCTCGAACGAATGATTTTTAGACCAGAGATCTCATGAATGAATATCTGCTAACCTGGTTTTCGTTGAGGAATTCTTACTTTCATTAAGAGACATGTTCATACTCATATGTGCTACTGAACATGAAAACTGTATAGGATACAAATTTCAGGTTTTCTGAGATAAATGTTTAAACATTTAGGAATACCCGCTGCAGTGATCATCTTAAGATCGTCTTAACACCCACGATTATATATACGCTTCAATACTTAGTGAAATTCCATGAAATCCAAACTTTAATTAGTATATTATAATGCATTTATTTTGTTAATTTTTCGGGATGAATGTTCACATTAAAATGATTGAAGGACCTTATGCGGTCCAAGAGTTTGACATTCTTGGTGTACATTAAAAATATTATGAATTCACGAAATAGTCTTGAATTGCAGATATCTAAATATATTGCAAAACTTGAATTTAAGTGAAAGAAGCGTGAGATGTTAGTGGATCTAAATTGTATTTATCTGATTTCTACGCAGCTGTGAAAAATGCCAAATTCTGAGTATAATCGGTTTAAATTTTCTATGGTTGTGAGTATATAAAATTCATAATAAAATCATTGCACCTTCTATGAGGAGGGAAAATATTAAAAAAAGCAGGATACCCTTTCAAAGTAATTTTTTATTCATCATATTTAACAAAGTGTAGCTTGACACATAGATTACATGAAGGAATTTCAATTATTTTCTTCTTTCTTGGAAGATTGTACAGTTGTATGTCGTATCTTACCAAGGCCAAGGGGAAGTTAAAAAACTGAAATTTAAACCAATGTAAAATCAAGATATACGATATAAGTCCATTATTGCATTCTTCATTATAATTGAGATCACAGAAATAAATTCTTTAACTTCGCTTCGCGGGAAATTTTGCGTACTAATCAAAAAGCTTCCATTGAGACAAAATTAAATTCGCATTTCTCCATTAACAAAGCAGCTGGTCCATGTGGGATATAGGCTTGTTAACAGTTCTAACTGAGATTCCATTGCTAAAGTCATGTTCCCAGTGATTGCTTTTGTATATTATTTCGAAGTACAGTCATGAAGGAAAATAAAACCTTTTGAGGAGATAAGCTAGTTGATTATGATATAATGGTTAAAAAATAATAGGAGAAATACGACGCGAATAAAATTAAAAAAAAGCGTAGTATCAGAGCTGCGAATAAAGCTCCACGTACATTAACAATAAGCATAATATAACATATTGTTGCGTGCGTACGGGTTCGTTATGAAATGAATGCACAAGTCCGATGAAAAATGAACAAAAAATTTATTATTATCACAACAAAAATGCTTAAATTTTCTCAAATTATCATGCAGTATTACAATATCTCACAGTAGTTATCTTTTAACTACTCAAATGTCCAATAGAACGTCATTCAAAACAGCTAAAGAACGCTAATCCGCGAATTCGCTACAATCAATGTTTATGTGAGTATCGTTTGCTTCATTTTATTGTTGCAAACAGCGTAAATTCCTTTTGTTTTTCTTCCTTTAGTTTTGAACTTTATGTGTGGCAACAAGATAATTGATTGATAGAATTGTGTTTGTGACAGCCATGTAGAATGACTCGCTTATTTTGTATCAATTATTTCGCATCGCTGACATATTATTTATAATTAGTAAAAGCGTAGGAATACAGTCCATTTGTTGATTGATTATAGTTTGTGAAACAAATTAATTTAATAGAACACATGTTGTTGGTCAAAAGTCTAGCCGGAGAGCTAGTGAAGATAGTGACTGTTCTAAGTGTATTCTAACAACGCAAATATGTATATGGTTTGTGAAAATTATCCACTTTGTGATGTAAGTGGATTTTGAACAAAAATTCGTTTAATTTGTTGTTAAATTTTAAGAACAATGTTGTAATACAACATAGAATTCGATTTCATTTTAATAATAGTGTTAAGTGATTTAAGAACAATTTCTGTTTTTGAATTGATCAATTATGAGTGAACTTATAACTTTTAAAACAAAAAGAGCGGTCTTACGCAGGAGTGTTACTAATTATGTAAAGAAAATTGAAACTATTTTAACTGCAGATGAAATTAATTTAATAGAACTAGAGGAATGTGTCGAATTATTGAAACAAAAAGAAACTGAGTTAAGGAAGCTTGATTCTGAAATCGAAAGTTTAATTACAGATACTAAAGAATTAGAAAACGAAATAGATAATGTTCAGGAGTACACAGATAAAATTTATTTGTGGAAATTTAAAGGTGAAAAAATATTAAAAAGTCAAAATAGTAAAAATAATTCTAATAGTGTAATTTCAGAACAGGTTCTTGAAAATATTAAATTACCCAAGTTAACATTACCGACTTTTGGTGGTAATATTACAGAATGGATAGCTTTTAAAGATCTTTTCAGTGCTTGTGTAAGAAATAATACAAATTTATCTAATGCTCAAAAATTGCAGTATTTGAAGGCTTCGTTGAAAGGTGAAGCATATCGCATTATTCAAACCATTCAAATTTCGGATTGTAATTTTGAAATAGCATGGAATCTGTTAGACGAAAGATATTCAAATAAGAGAGAAAAATTTTTTCATATATTAAACGTTTTCTAAGTTTACCAACTATTCAAAATGAATCAGCATTTGCTATTTTAAATTTAGTTGACAATATTAATGAAGTAATTCGTTCTTTAGAAGTATTGAATCAAACCATTGATAATTTTGGTGACACTTTAATGACTTATTTAATTTTGCAAAAATTAGACCCTTCTACAAAATTATGGTGGGAACGTCAGTTAAAATGTAATGAAATTCCAAAACTTACGACTTTAATTGAATTCCTAAAAAACTATGCAAGAACACTTCAAAATAGCAAATCAACAAGTAATAAGGTACCTAAATCTGTGTTTCAAAATAAGAATAATGTTCTGGTTGCTACTTTGGGTTGTGGTTATTGTAAAGAAGATCATAGTTTAGCCAAATGTTCGAAATTTCTAAATTTATCGGTTCAGCAAAGGATAGATTTTGTAAAATCTAATCGTTACTGTTTTAATTGTTTATCTAATATGCACTTGCTCAAAAAATGCAAGAGTTTAAATACATGTCAACATTGCTTTAAGAAGCATCACAGTATTTTGCACATTGTAAATAATTCAAAGAATAAAACTCAGTTAAACAGTATATCTCCGCCTACGCAATCTATCATTAAAAGAGATGAATTAACGAGTCCTAAGGACGTTTCAGCCACAGTTTGTGCCTCTCATTATGATTCGAATGCAAAAGGTAATCAAACCAGTCACATTTTATTGTGTACTGCTTTAATAAAAGTTCAAAATTCTAAGCAACAATTTGTGAAGTGTAGATGTTTATGTGACACTGGATCTCAGAGATCATTTATTTCAAGGGATTGTGTGAAGAAATTAGGATTACGAGTGAAAGATAATTCCATTTCTGTATCATGTCTAGGAGAATTTAATACTATAAGTAATGGGGAAGTCGATTTAGTATTCACTTCTCATTTTAAAAGTGATATTCGTGTATCAACATCAGCGTTTGTACTGGACAAGGTGACAGATAACATTCCCTATGTATCTTTGCCATCAATCATCTTCGATAACTTCAGTGATTTACAATTAGCTGATCCATTATTTTACAAGTCACAACCAGTTGACATTTTATTTGGAGTAAATGTATTTCTGCATTTAATGACGGGAGAAATTGTCAAACGTGGTCCTGATCTACCATTTGCTCTAAATTCGAGGTTGGGATGGATAATTTCGGGTACTACAAATTTTGAATCTACAAATTTTGAGCCAGTATATGTAAATCATTTGAATACAAACACAGATGAGTTAGTAAATTCTTTCTGGGAGTTAGAAAAGTTTCCAAATGTACAACCTTTAACAAATGAAGAAAAACTTTGTGAAGAACATTTTAAAAACTCGCATTTTAGAGACACATCAGGTCGTTATTCAGTTGCATTACCATTCAAACATAATAGAGATATTCTAGGTGACTCCCGTGAAATGGCGTACAGAAGATTTCAATACTTGGAGAAGAGGCTGTTATCTATGAAAGAAATTTACAACCAGTATATTCAGTTTATGAAAGAGTACTTTTCACTAGAACACGTAGAATTAGTGCCAGACACAGATTATGAATTAGAGAATAAACACTATTATATCCCACATCACTTTGTGTTGAAGGACTCTAGCTTAACAACAAAATTGAGAGTTGTTTTCGATGCGAGCGCTAAAACAACCACAGGTGTTTCTTTAAATGATACACTAATGATAGGCCCAAAAATACAAGATGACTTAATTTGTATTTTACTAAGATTTAGACTTCATAACATTGCAATAACCGCTGATATTAAAATGATGTACAGACAGATAAAGGTTCATGAAAAAGATAGAGATTTTCAGAGAATATTATGGAGAGATAGCCCGTATAAGCAAATACAAGTTTGTCGTTTGAAAACAGTTACATATGGAACTGCAGCTGCTCCATATCTTGCAACCAAAGTGTTGAGTCAGTTAGCGATTGATGAAGGATTGAACTTTCCAAAGGCAAAGAATATAGTTTTTAAGAGATTTTTTATGTTGATGATATGTTAACTGGTGTAAAAGATAGTTCGGAAGGTATTGCATTGATAGACGAATTGCAACATCTGCTAAAAGTGGTGGCTTTGAGCTTCACAAATGGTCGACAAGTGAACCGTCATTGTTAAAAACCTCTGGCTTAACAAACACAGATAGTGACAATATTCATCGTGTAATAGAAGACAAACCATTGAAAGTTCTGGGATTGGAATGGCATCCGGACAATGATGAATTCAAATGTAATGTCGGTGTAATAGAGTATCAAAGTGTTCCGACTAAAAGAATTATTTTGTCATTCGTAGCAAAACTATTCGATCCATTGGGGTGGATAGCTCCGTTTGTAATTCTCGCTAAAATGATCCTTCAGCAATTGTGGAAATTACAGTTATCATGGGATGATCCTGTAACAGAAGAGATTGATCGAAATTGGAGAAATCTATGTAGAGAAGTTAAACTTTTGAATTCTATAAATATACCTAGGAAAATTCTGCTACCTGATTATTTTCGATGTGAATTTCACGGATTTTGTGATGCGTCTGAAAGAGGTTATGCAGCAGTTATTTATATCAAAACTTGCAATAACTCTGACATTAATGTTAAACTCGTAACAGCTAAAACTCGTGTAGCACCATTAAAATCTATTACGATTCCAAGACTGGAATTATGTGCAGCAGTGTTATTGGCACGCTTGATTCAGTCTGTAAAAGCTGCATTAGTTTATAAATTTTGATTTAGTGCAAGCTTGGAGTGATTCACAAATCGTGTTGTCATGGCTAAAGGTCAGATCCTAAAAAATGGCAAGTATTCGTATCCAATAGAGTTTCTGAAATACAATCCATCTTACCACCTGAGAACTGGAGTCATGTTGATGGAAAGGAAAATCCAGCTGATTGTGCTTCACGTGGGTTTATTTCCTGCAGAACTATTATCTCATCAATTGTGGTGGAATGGTCCTTCTTGGTTAAAGTGCAGTGAGATTGCCTTAACTAAAAATATTCTTATAGATGAAGAGGCATTACCAGATGCACGTAAAACAGTCTCATTTGTAGTTTCTGAACCTGTACAGGAACTTTCTATTATATCAAATATATCTTCATTTCCAAAGTTACAACGCATATTTGCTTGGATATTAAGATTCATATCGAATTCTAAAGTAACATATCTAGAAAGAAATACGTCTTTTTTATCTAGTAATGAAAT